CGCGTGCCGCCGATCTCGCCGCCCGCTGCCTGCCGCCGGCGGGGGGGGGGGGGGGGGGGGGGGCAAGGGGGGGGGGGGGGGGGTAACGTTAAACGAAACTTTAACTTCAAACGGCCTTATGAAAGTTAATGTCATGTGTAACGAATTGAATGCGCCGCACCATAACGTGAGCCCATACTTTCGGTTCTCGTTTTTGCTTCGTCACGTGAGCATATATCCACGTGAAAATAGAGTTGACAGCAGAAAAGAAAGCAATGATGTGGAGCACTACTCCCATCATGTATCTTTATAATGCCTAACAAAGAAAGTGTTTAATATGAAATCCGAGCGAGAATAATTTTCTGTATATTATATAATTTATTACAGCAAAAAACTCCCTTAAAATATTTCAAGTGCCTTGTTATCGAATATAATAACATTTAAAATAAAAGCTATATAAATTTAAGTTGAAAAAAATCCTATTTAAAATACTAATATAGTAAAATACGTAGCCAAACGTCTAATAGTAGACCAAAATAGCTAATATAAGATAGCTTGCTACGTAATTAAGAAGATATTTACTAGTACGTATGTATATCAAGCTGGATTATCTTAATTGAAGTATAAAAAGTCATAATTATTTTATGCACTTTACGAATTATTAAGGCATGGACGATTATTGTCACTAATATTTCCACCAATAAGTTTTATAAATTCTACCCCATGTTTTGGAATATTTGTTGCAGTATAACTAGTAATTATTTATTTAGAGTGCAAATCATTTATTCAGTTAATGTAATCGTCAATATGAAAGTAGGGATCGAATTTATTTAGTATGAGAACATACCTATTTGTATAGTATCCGCTAGATTGTTGTTTTACAAGGTTATAAACTTCAATAGTACCTGTAAGGTGGCAATGGCTTTTAAAATCTAATGTGATATTTATTGGATCTATTCCACGGTTAAACAAAACTAAAAAAAATAATAAAACAAATAAAATTTAATAGTCTAATTTTGATAAAGCATAAAGGTTTTCAATACAAACTTGCAACATATCCATCATTAAGTGGTCCAGTCCAAATATCAAAGGAAATTTTATTATCATTTTTATAGTAAACCTGGCATACAGACAATCCAAGAGGATCTTGCTATTTTTAAGAATTAAATAAAGCGAAATTGCATATTATGAATATTTAAAGATGATTAGTAAAAACCAAAAAATAAATCCCCAATACTGTACTAAGGAATAAACTTACATTTACAGAAATTATATCTTTATTTAATATTAATGCTTTTGACATATTATTAACCTTAGTAAGCTATAGTGCAATTTAGAATTATTTTTAGCATTTTTATCAAATAATCAAATTAAAAGTTGATAAACAAAACCTACATCACATCCAAGTATTAAAGGGGCCTTCAGGGCGGACCAAAATGCATAATGTGTTATTTGTTCTTCAAAAGGTATTCCATCAAAACCCACTACAAGCATATCGGGATCATTCCAACCACCTAGCCCTCCAAATTCCGTAAGTCTTACTTGCGAATCTATTGTTGATATGATCGCTGGCCAGAATGCATTAATGTCAACAGAAATTCTCCAACTAAAATTCATATATTTAAATAACAAATAATTATTTATTAGCTATTTATTATATTTTACAATATATAATGGTAAAAATCTTTGAGATCATTAGATATAAATAATTACCTATTGCCGGTACCAGGTCCCCATAACCAAGGATTACTTGTTCTAGTATAAAAATCAAAATATAAACTTTAGTATTCAATAAATTTAGAAAAACATAATAGTTTTCTAAAATGTTTTTACTAATTCATCTTACCCCCATTCGCAGATGTTATAGAAAATAGTCTTATTTTTGCCTGCAGTTGCAGACTTAAGTGCATTTGCCATTGCCTAGATAACAATTATAATAAATATTAACATTGTAATCAAAACTTGAGTACTTAATAACTTACTTGGTAACGTTGTTGTTCAGGCCTTCCTTGATCATTACAATTATCATACTTTAAATAGTCAACATCCCATTCTACGAATGTTTGTGCATCTATATCTTCGTTATCTATAAATTATTTATATGATTATATGTTTCAAGACATTCTAGTTGTAGCTGAGTTTCAGAATAAAAATATAATAAACACCAAGTGATCCAGGTTGACCACCACAAGTTTGAGCTCCAGCATCTGAATAAATTCCAAAAAGTAAGCCTTTTTTATGTATATAATCTGCAAGATCTTAAAAAGCAGATTATATAGCTCATGTTAATCATTTAGTTATAAAGGATTTTTTTTTTAAAAAAAAATAAATATACGATTTAGATTATAACATATTAACGTATCTAATTTTTAATATTAGAGCGTATAACTTATATATGTGTCGATTTTGATTGATAATGAATATTCTCATCATCACAATAGTTTCCATACACATATTAAAAAAGTAATACTCAATACGTAGATTACCTTTCATTCCAAGGGGAAATCTTAGAAAAGTTAAATTATAAGTTTAATATTTTCGCAGAATTTATTTTTAACAAAAGTATTGGTGCATAGAACGAACTTAAATAGATTATGATATAGTTTCTTTTCTATTCTTATAGGTGCTTGCCATCCATCATCTATAAAAAAAATCATATAGATAATGCTTTAGATGACATACTTAATATATATTATTGAATCAATTAATTTTACCAAGATTTATATATCTATAACCAACTTCCAAATAGCCTTCATTAGCTATAACATCCGCATGTTGCTTAATTAACACGTCGTTAAAATTGGAATGAAACTTTAAAAATTAACAAAGTTAGTTAAGCATAACTACAATAATTACTATAAAGTCAGATTATACTTACAGCATTATAAG